AGAAAACAGGTAATAATTATATTTTTGACTGTGTCTCGTTTTTCTCTAAAAAGCCGCCATCTTGCGGTTGCAGTGGAACCATAATCGGCGACACTTTTCTGACGATGGGTTAGAATTTTCTGAACTTTATACGCAAACATTAAGTACATTCCCCACATGAATCCTAGCTTAAACTTATATTAATTGTTCTCAAATATTTTATAACTTACCTTAAACTTCCTGATTACAACTTTTTTTTTTGCAGAACGGCGCGTCAGGCAAACAGTGTGACCGTATGAGACTCTTTCAAAATGCCATTTTATTGACCAACCGTAAGTTATAAAAAATACCAGGAAAAATAAAAGTTTTTAAATAAATACTCACTTTGTTTTAATTCTGGCAACGCCTTTTTGAAGTGTTGGAAAATTAAAATATTTAAATTTTTACTTAATATTTAGTTTGTTTTAATAACCAAACTTGGATTTATAAATAAGCTAGTTCGGATGAGGATGGGATTTTGGAATCTTTTTGCATGATATTATACGCCTGTAGCTTTTTCGAGGAATATAGATTTGGTTATTCGGCACATTCGGCTGGGCACAGGGCACAATGGTCCTGTTTCTTTTGAGACACACCTTGAATATATGATGCGTACAAACTAAAAAAAAAACTGAAGGACATACAAAATTTAGATGGGTATCTTCGTCGCATACTTATCGCCAATTAAACTTATTACACGATACATCTTCCTAAAATTTTTCGTCGAAATTTTGGAAATCTTTTTGGCTTTGCACATTTTGTTTTTCGCCTTGTACGAATGTTGGAGGCAGGCCCCTTTAGCACAATAATTTTTATAGAAGGAAAGAATACACATATGAATGTGTCTTTGTATTCTTAATAAAATATGAATGTGTCTTTGTATTCTTAATAAGTATAATTTTTCTGTTTGTTCCTATGTGAATTAGTATCTCAGTTTTGAAGCTATCGTCTTTAAGCTTTACACACCCCCTTCTTTCTTTTTCACGCAGTACATCAGAAGAGATAATGCTACATCTGCAATTAAACTATATAAAGATCCTTTTGAAGATAAAAGGTTACAAATTTTACATTTTGTTACATTTATTATTAACTTAAGTAGAAGCTACTTTTATGCTGATAATATGTCTATCATTTAAAAATTTATTTTTAATTCCACTTCTGTAGTTGTCGTAAGAAACGTGTTCGTTTCCAAAAAGCTCCACTATTTTAGCTTTGCGGTGATCGCGTTTTTGCCGGCTTAGAATATCCAAAATCAAAAAATAACATAAAAAATGTTCTACTTTTTGAAAATCTAAACTGCGTATAACCCTTTTAGTAAGATCGGCAGCTACATCTTAAGCTACCCTCAGAAAGCTACCCTTTAATTAAGAAGAAAGAGAGATCGACCAAATTTTTGTAATTCTGCAAATAAAGGCTTTTTCTGAATTCATGTCATACAAAAACTAATGTAATCCCAAAGTTCTCATTCGACTTCGTAAGAACATACTCGAATATATCATATCCGCTTTTAAGCTCCGTCTCCGCCCAAAGTATGCTTGCTTTTTAAAAGTTTTATTAAAACAAAAATTATTTTTATGAAGTTAAATGTAACTTTGTAACCAAAAATAACCATACAAATCTAAAGACGCTATACATTTTGCTGTGTAAATTGTAAAGTAGCCTCTACCCTAAATTTTGGTATTTACCGCGATCTGATCGAGGTCCAATCCAACCCCCAATATGTTTTGTGAATAAACAATAACCATTGAAACAGTCAGTCAACAAGTATTTGACATAATATAGAGAATAATATAGGGAATGCGCATTTTAAATATATAATTTTTCCTTTATTACACATTTTACATTTCGTATATAGATTCCGTTAGAGTTATGCGTATGTATATATTTACACCTTAGACTAATCTGTAATAAATGTGTAAGAGTACGCTAAACCTAAATAATGTATATTATTATTAAATAAGATTAAAAAAATTGAATTTTTTCGCCTTAAGATACAGCATGTTCGGTTGGCATTTTGTCAGCCCTTTTCAAAGTTCTCAATCAATTGTTTATATTCGGTTAACTCTATTCGCTCTTTGAAGTATAAAAGTGTTATTTTTGTCGCTTTATTAAAAATATAATAATATATTAACGTTAAGTAAACAAGTTCCCAAATAAGATTATAGTTATTGGTAATAGCTAGATCCATATATGACTGTATAAATATTGACGCACCTTCTGTTTTGAAAACAACGAATACTGACCGTTTAGTCATTAGATGTACAAGCGGCCAGAGACGTCCTTGTCCCAACATCCTGATGTTTTCAATATCCAGCCGGTGAACATTCAAATTAATATGCTTTATATTATAATCGTTTAACTGGATTAAATGCTAACAATCTCTACATCTCTCTCTTGATTTTACGGCAACGGCAAGGAATACAAGCAATACTTATGTAAGCAGTTGATGAAATAATAAAACGCAAAGGATGTGAGTGTCCAGGCATTCCTAGAAGTTGGCTGGCAGTGAAGCACCAAAATGATAATGCTAGTTGACAAAGCTATTTTATATACGATGATCCCACCAAAAACAGATTTTTTTCAGGGAAGGTTTAGAGTTGAAACTATTTGCTATTTTATTTAGCAATTTAATTTTACGTATGTTTTCTGATTAGATGTTTTCGGCTCTTACTTCGCATAACTCTAAAATGCCATCAATTCAGTTTTAAGTTGCGTAATTGTTTCTCCGGAAAATAATGTTACTGGCTAGTTCTTTGTCTTTTAATTATGTGCGTTGTGAATCGCCTTAAAGTTAGACTCAAAATTGTATTCTTGAAATTCTCTTCACCAATTGTATAACTACATTACGTAAATATTAATATTTCCACTTCGATTTGGATTACTGATTGCTACAACTTGCAAAAGAAATTTGACGTATGGCGTATCGCGTGTATCTTAAGATCAAAAATTGGCTGCGCTCCCAAAACCTTCCTCTTCTGCTAAATCTATATAGATTTCAAGTTCGATTTGGCAGTGAGAAAACCTAAACTCTATAACTGAAATCAAAAAGCGTTTTCGCAATTTTCCTGCGAACTATACCATGCATGGGCGTACATACAGTTATTATAAAGTACCACATACGTCTATGTCTAGAGTCTAGACTCTAGACCGTTTAAGAGGATCTTCTGCAAACCAGGTACCTTTAAAAAGGCCTTTGGTTGTTCCTTGTTTTGTCATAACTTTGAAATAAAGTCTTCGGGGCTGAGAGTGCGATGAAAATGAGTATCTCTATCGAAAATAATATGTCCCTTCAGTGTATATATTTTATATTTGTTCATCTTTTCTGCTCACGTTCTGCTAAGGTCTCGCTTGTAGTTATAATTATTATTTGCTCAAAACCTTTCGATGATGCTTGTCCCACATCGCCTTCGCTTAATATTTTTGTTTTGCTTGAGGTAGTTTTTCAATTCAGGATTTTATCTACAAGTTAAACACAAAAGTACTTGTAGGTCGTGTGTGAATCAATTTCTCGTAGGGGTAAGGCTGTGTACTACAGTTGTGGGTTGTGGGTTCTACGAGAATCAGTTGTTGGGAGCAAAACAAGTTACGAGTTTACACATAACAAAAAACAGTGCATAAAAATTAAACATAGTTTAGTTATTTCTCTCGAATTTCAAAAATCTACATAACGATTTGGTTTCACGGTTCAGCTTCGTTTTGCATTAATTTTTATTTGAGTGGATCTGTCAACAAATTTTACTTTATTAGCGTACAATCTTGTATTTTCGATTTCATCAGGTTGCAGTTTTGTATTTTTGTCGCATTCTTTGTTGTCGTCTCACAAAGCGAGGGCTTTGTAATGGTAATAATTAAGTGTATAGGTGTATATAATATATATTTACAACTCTTAGGCCTCTTAAATTTCTACTTGTGAAAGATATTGACAAGATCTTTCAGCTTGCACGAGTAGTTCAATTCTATTCTAATTCTTGTCTTATTCTACGTCGACCAGGATATCCGATGTGAATACTTTGAATAATGGCAAACGATGTATGCACATAGAGACTACAAAACGGGGCTAGCAAGGTCCAATTTCTAGAGCTATTAAATAGCCATTTCTTCTCGTTTTCACCCATCGAACGGATCGGTAACTAATAATGAACTAAATTTAGCAAGATACAAACCGCTCTTAACTACAAACCTCGACATCTTTTTGCTTTCGTTCTTAGCCAATTTCACAGCCATTTGCTTCGCAAGCAAACTTGTTCAAATTCTGAATTTCTAGCTCCTAAGTCTTTGCGCTCATCCCAATAGTTTGTCCTAGCAAGCAAAATTATAGATACATAGATTAAATAAAAACACTGGGGATTACGTTTTTCTTTTTTCAACTTGTTGTTTTGCTTTGTTTCAACATATTCTCATGTATATTGTATATATCTTGGTTGGTTTCGCATCTACCACATACTTAGTTATGTAGACTGGTACAAGTATTCCGTATTACGATAGGGTTTAATATTTTACATTACATGAACTATAAAACAAGTTATGGATAAATGTATTAGGTTAGGTATTTTGTATAATAATAATTGAACGTGCGAGTGCATGCTAAAAATCATTGAACTTAAGCCAATTGTAAAAACGAAACATAATGAGTTTGATGGGCGATGTCGGTCATCGCGGTTTCGGGTCTTGGGTCTTTCGCTGCAGTTCCCCGCAGGCTTCCGGGAAGCCCGAACACGAGTACTACAATTAAATAATTCACTGATTTCTCTTTGTCCAAGTGCAGGCTATATTTAATTAGAATTCCCTTAGTTAAAGCAAGGTGCTCGTTTAATTGAGTTGCTTCCATTATATTCATGCTACTTGTAGTCGTAGTTCGTTTTATAAATTAAGTTTACTTAAAGGTTTAATTATGTGGCTGTCTGTTTAGGCGTGTGTATGTGTGGTTACAAATATAGGATCTTAAATTAAATTAGTAGTAAAATAAAAAATTGCACAATTCATTTAGAAAGCTAAAATGTATGTATTATTTTCTACACTTCTAAACAATAAAAGAGTTTCACTTTTCAGCGTGTTACTATTTTACAAGTTTTTCTTGTATCCGTTTGCAAACAAAAATTTTACTAAAATTAGAATAAATTTGATTTAAGTTAAAATAAGGCCAACAATTAAAAAATGTACAGTTCAAAACTAAAGAGTAGATCTTAAAAATGTTTGAAAATAAATTGCATTACATTTTACATTGCCAAAGTAAACCGAGTTGCACGTTTGTGTGGTTTCTATAAAATAAATTTTGATTTCGAATTTTGAAATACCAATGTAGTTCGTATAATAAATATTGAAGTCTTTTTGGTGAACTGTGGGTGTGCATGTTGCAAGAGTGATTGAACATAACCAGTAAAAGATTGAATTACAATTTTGTTTCGTTTAAGACTTAATACCTTTGATGCCTTTTGGTTTTGAGTAAAACTCCAATCACTTTAATTTCATTAATTTTTCAATATAAAAATTTTGTTAAAAAATGCCTAGAAAACGATGCCAATTTCTAAAGAATCTTGGATTTTGTTTGCAAACATTTTTTTGGGTGGAAATCATCAGAATCTTAGAATTTAAATTCTAATTCATTTTTAAAAATATAAGGAGGGCACAATAAAAATATGAATATATTCTCTTATTTGCTTTCATTCACTTTTGCAATATTTTTACAGTTTGCCTTCGTTATTAATAAAAAATATTTATAAAATCAGTCCAAGTTTTGCGTGTTTTTTTAGAGTTTGTTGTTTGAATTAACTTAAATGGGTATTTAGTTATTATGCTTATTTAACAGATTTACTCGTTTCTTTATGGTAAGAGTTAGGGGTTACGATTAAATATTATACAGTTGCTTTCATTAAGTTTATGTTTAGTAATTTAATGTAAATTTATATATTTTATATATAAACAATCTTTATTCTCTTCTCTCTGTTGTCGCTCTGCTTTTCCCCTGCGGAATCCCGAATCCGGAATTCGGAATCCGGCATCCGGATCTGTTCTGCATGCACTTGGAGAATCAACTTGAAAAACCAAATTCGAGAACTGATTGTGCGCCGCACACCTCCGTGCATGGCCCACAAAAAATGGATTCTATTATTTCAATTGATTTTCATTTGTTCTCCATATACTTGTCTCACTCTCTCCATCTCTATTTCTCCAACTCTCTCAATGTGTTTGTCAATTGTTTTTAAGCTTGTTTCGAATAAGCTTCCTCCGTATAATAGTAATAGTACTTTTAATGTTTAGTCAAATGAATAATGCCTAAACTCTAATATTTGCAGGCTTAAGACTAAATAACTGCATTTTACGCTTGTCCATCATTAATAATTCGCGTTCCTCGCCCTCCTCGAGCTGAGTCGGGAGAGGAAGATGGGGAGTGTGTGGGTTTAGCTGCCTTTTCTAGTCAAGCAGGACACCGAGGTTCTCCTGATGGTGGTGGTGCTGCTGCTGCTGCGTCTGCTATGCCGTCGTCGAGTGCTCCGACTTGACAGACACTCCACCGATGAGCTGCTCCTGGTGAGGATGCAGAGCCACGCCCATCAACGCCATCGCCGTCTGGGCGTTGGCGTACATGCTGACGTTCCCGCCCACACCCATGCCCACTCCTACCCCGTTGCCCATGGCCACGCCTGGCGTGGTCGAGCTGGCGGGCACGGCGGCAGTGATGCTGGTTGAAGAGGTGGCGGCGGCAGTCGTCGGCCCCAAGGCGCCACCGCCCCCGATGTAGTCGCTGCTCGTACTAACCGCCGACACGGAACCCGTAACGGATGCGGGCATTGGAACGGAAACGGAGACAGGAAGATGCTGCGGCTGGAGCTGAGGTGGGAGTTGCGGCTGCTGGTGCTGGTGCTGCGGCTGCTGCTGCGGTTGCGGCTGTGACTGGGACTGGGTCTGGGGCTGGGGCTGGTGCTGAGCCGCTGCCGCCGCCGAGGTGGAAGCGGACTCGGAGTCTATGCCTGAGGTAATAGCGCCGCCGACGGAGGCCCGCATGCGTTCGGCCCGCTCCAGACGCTCGTTCTCCTCCTGGGTGACCTGCAGATGCGACTGGACCGAGGGCGGAATGGCGTGCACGTCCCAGATTTCCTCAAGGAACTTGGGGAGCTTGCGGTTCTTGAGCTTCAGAGAGAAGCACATCTCGGCGTTCTGGTTGCCCAGCGTGCGCAGCTCGGTGAGGATGGACAGCAGCTTGGCGTAGAAGACGAGGCTCATGGAGTCGCCGCAGTGGCGGTTGAGTATATAAATGCGTAGCGTGTCGATGTAGTAGCTTTGGATCTCTTCGACTAGTTTAGCCTTCTCCAAGCCCGGCCGGTCCGAAAAGATCACAATGGCAGTGAGTAGAGCGTACTCGACGTTGTCCACCTTCATCGAGAACATTTGTCGGCAGAAATGCAGAAGGTCTTCAATGTTGTCAGCCATTCCGGCCATTTTGTACGAGTCCCGTGTGTAGGATCGGTTGTTCGCGAAGAAAATGGAGTCTGAGTTGTGGTCGTATCTGCGGGCCATTCGCAACATCATCACCTCGGACGAGCAGGCCTGCGAATAAGCCACACAGTTATACTCATGATTCAGGCCAGAGTACTTCAAGCCAGGGGCCACTTACCTTCAGTAACGTTATCTGATCCTCCTGGGGTATTTTTGTAAACGCTGGTAAACCTTTTGCAAATTCCACAATCAACTGAACTGTGAGAATGGTTATCTCGGTGATGTGTCGAAAACTGACGTCCGTCTGGCTCTCGTTCTCATCGGGTTGACTCTGCAATGAAAACAAAGTTGCAGAACTCAGTTTTCCCAGCGCACTGCTCAGAACCTACCATTATACGCTTGAGATCCTCTTCGGACGGCTGCTCGTAGCCGTCCTGGTACCAAATTAGTTTGTATATAACAGCCAACTGATTGTACGTTAGCGGAGGTATATTGCGCGCTTGACACTTGGCCAAAATATCATCAGGTAGTAGCTGGAACGGGGCGAAAGAACAGGGTTAGACTTTACCCAGTACATTGGTTCCCATAATGCGACACTTACCGGAATTGTGGCGTGCTGCGGCGCCTCGCAGATCATCAGATCGAGGATCTCCTTCTTCACAATGTCGTGGGTGCCGCCCAAGCCACCGCCATTGCCGCCATGCTGCGAGCTGGGCGACGTGGTCATCTTGTCCTTCTCCTTCTGGGCTTTCTTCTCGCGCCGCTTCATGGCGCACTGGTTCTCCGGGACGACACACTCCGGCCTCATGCCCACGGCCAGGCACTTCTTAAGGCGACACTCCTGGCACTTGCGCCGCATGTACATGTCCATTTCGCAGGCACGTCCAAACTTGCAGCAGTATACGGCGCTCTTGGTGACGCTCCGCCGGAAGAAGCCCTTGCAGCCCTCGCAGGTCAGTGCATTGTAGTGGTAGCCGGAGGCCCGGTCCCCGCAGACCAGGCACAGCTCCTCCTGGACCCGCGGCGCCGGGCCCTTCTTGATCTTCTTCGTATCGCAGCTCTCGTTAGCGGAGTACCCGTTGAGGCTGCTCGAGGGCGAGAGATCATCGCGACCTGTTGGGGCGAAAAGAGTGGGAGGCGGTTCGGATTAGTATGGATTATTTCAGCGGGCGATCCATAAAACATTAGACCCAAATAAATAAATTTCCTGCACAGTTCTATGTTCTCCGCCATTAGCATGTTTTGCAAGCTCCGAATACCAATTGAAGTGCTACTGGCTTCATAATCTGCAGCCCCTTGGTATATTTATACCACGACGGGAAACGGGGTTTCGCTCTGTCCGTCCCCGAAGCTGTGGCTCAGTGGAATTTAAAATTCAATTAACTTTGCTGCTCAAAGTCAGCGGAATGGGACATGAAGTGGTGCTCTCAGAAGGAAATCAAGCAACTAAATGTTGGAATGCGGGACGGAGAACTACAAGCTGTGGCTTTGAATATGCGCTGGTCGTGGTTCTTCGGAGACAGCCCTAATCCTGGGTAAAACCTAATCTGAATGATCTATATCGGTTCAGGCTCAGGGAGTTCCTTTCAGCTTCAAGGTACAAAGTTCTGAACATGAAAGAAGTGGGTTTTCTAGTTTCGTCTACAAACCATCAAGTCATCAAGTCCCATTATCGATTGCGATTAATGGGGCTTGTGTCGAGGCGGCGGGAACTATGAATGGCGCTGGAGATGCGTTATGTGAATAGTCACGTTCGCAGCACTCCCTCCGAGAGACGAGGAATACAAAGTGCAAGTTCTTTCTGCAAAGACGCCAAGAGGCGGGGCGTGGAAGGACAGTTAGAAAGGGCGGCCATTGGTGGCACATAAGTAGATAAAAAGATACGACAAAAAGGCGTGCTATTGTTGCAACTGATGCAGCCAGAGGAATGACAATGACAGCCCCAACCACCGCAAGACACGGATCAGACACTTTGCCAAGACGCTGGCCCAGAAGCGGGGGCGGAGGTCTCAAAGCCAAGGCGGCTAAGACGTCACTTGGCCACAAGTGCAGCTCCCCCTTCGCGTGCTTCAACTGCAGCCGAGTGCAACCCAGTGCATTGTCGGCCTAACACAGTTTTCCGCAACGAGTCCCCAGCCCATTCCCCATCCCACATCACCACAAAATATTACCCATACGCCCGGTGGCTCTGGCTCTGGCTCTGGCTTGTCGTGGCTCTCCAATACTTTCCCTCCCTTGCGGCAGGCGCTGCGTTTCAATTTCACTGCCAGCGGAGGGGGGAGAAAACGAATAAACGACGGCGTCATGCAAACTTTGTCTGCTCCAGCGGCTCATGGAAAATGCAGAGACGCCAGCATGACTGCATTTTCACTGCACTCCAGCGCTAGCGGCGTGTGCGAGTGTGAGTGTGGAGAGCAAAAATGTGGAAAATTGCTGCTGCCTCCGCCGCTGCTCTGCGGCGGGGAAATCGTGTGGCGAAAAGTAAAAACCTGATGGCGAAACCCGCTTGTCTAAGCCGGCAGGGGCTGCTCCGCCCACCCCCCAGCCCAACTCAAAGGAAAGTTGGCGAGTATGAACCTGGCTCCAATGGGATAATCCTCGTCGCAACCAAGGCAGCCGCCAGGTGACTCCCTGAACATACATACATATCCAATAACATCAACCAGTTCTTTGCATAAAATCTCCAGTCAGCTGGTAATTACACTTTTGCCTACAAACAGTGGAGCGTTTTGGCTTTTGAGCCCGCGAAACGCCATCTGGCCCATTGCACGCATCGCGAAAGAGCAGAACACTGAGCCGTCGTGCAGAAACAAAGGCGCAAAGCAGTGGATGCATTAAAAAACAGACATCGAAACGGCAACAGTGGCGCACAAAAGACACCCCTGATTCCGCCCGGCCACCAGGTCCCCCCAGCACGCCACTCCGACTGTGCTGCGCACATTTCGAGTTCATTGTGTTATTGTGCTTGGACATTCGGGCTCCGCTCCGGTCGCTGGGCCGCACTACATACCTACATACATAGCCCGTGCAAGCGCGGCTCCCAAGGCAGGGGCGAAGCTGGGGAGCGGAACGAGGGAGGAACCTGAATCTCCATTCCTAATAAGGAAAACCTCTTCTACGAGGGTTCTGGAAAGCCAAGCTGTTTGAGTATTTTTAGACAAGTAAAGTAGAGGATTATGAAAAAACGATATTATTGACAAAAAAATTATGATATATGTACATAGCTTTTGGTCTTGTCTCACAAAAGATGGGGCCTTTCTTCTACTATCCAGTAGGCAATGGATTTTATCCACGTACCGGGTATATCTTTCAACTCTCTCTACTCCAATCAAAGAAGAGGATTACATGTAAAAGATATGTAAGCAAATAAATAATATATAACTAATTTTTTTGTAAAAAATAAACCTTCTTCAAAATACTAGGTCTGTTCTGCACAAAAGACAGGCCCCGAGAAGTAGGCAAGGTAAGTTAGACTTTAGCCAAGTACCGGGTATAACGCTTAAAGAAATCACGATTTGAAACGTGGCCTATAATTGCTTAAAAATAATTCTTGTTTTTAATTAAAACAGACATCTTCTAGATAAGAACTCCAGTAATATTTGATTTATGTAAAAACACTCAGTATGAATGTAAGTACGTGGATAGGCTAGCTTTACGTCAGCCCTGTGTTCTCTGCGAATGCACTCTCCGAGCTATCCTCTCTTTCGGGCCAGTTCTCTCTTGCTCGCTCTCTGGTCCCTCATCTGTTTGCTTCCGCCTGCCTGGCGCTGCACGCCCTTGCTGCAGAAGCTGAAAAATGTTGATGTAGGCCTCGAAATATGCAGTTTGCATTGCCACTGCCACTGCCGACGCCAGCCCCGTCCCCCCACGGCCCTCAGCAGTGAAGCAAGAGTGCCTGTGTGTGCGGGAGAGCGAGTGCATGTCGCACAAGCTTCTGCCGTGGTGTAGGTAAGTTCTCCCTTCGGTTCGTTTGCGTGCATTTCACTCTGCCGTGCATTTGCATTTGCATTTATTTTTTCACACAGTTTTTGTTCTAGGAGAAGAAATAAAACTTTTGTTGCTGCTCCAGAGCCGTTGACGTTGTCGTACGGCTCTGTTCCTTCAGCAAACTCTTCTTTTGTGCGTCCGTGTGTGTGCGCCGTAAATGCAATATTTTTAAGCGGCTTGTTGTTTGTGTGTGCACTGCACAAAAAGAAGGCAGGCGGAGGGTGGAGGGGCGAGCGGCGAGGGCTCTATGCAAATAGCGTCTTCTGTGCGGATAGCTGGCAAGCGGAATAAAAAGCTCCCCCCATCTGCCCATGCTTCCGCCCTCGGATATTAGCAAGTTGCAGTCTAGTCGTGAAAAGCCAGGCGAGGTAAAGTTTGTTTGTCCGATTTCCCGGCTCTGTGTTTGTATTTGTGGACGTGGATGCGATATGAACTGCCTGGAAGCGGTATGGGATATGGGACATGGGGAATAGAGAGGCGAAAATCGGGGAGCAAGCGAGATAGGAATACAGGCATGGGTTTCGGCGAGATTGCAATTTATTTGGGATTCAGCTTTAAGTTCCCTCCAAAGGATCGCTAGAGTCTAGAGAAATTTATGGCCTTTCCTGGCGATTCAAGACTCTTTTGGGTATTTATTCCAACAAGGGTAGATGGGAAAAAATATGATTCATTTTTGGAAAATTAAACAACCGTACATTAACCAACACTGGATTAGTTCATGTAAAACCTGTCAAGACATGTCCAATTTCTCAATCGATAAACGATCGCCACTCCCCCAAGTCCACCTCACAACCCCATTGACACATTTCCTGTGTATACCGCCAATCACGGACTGTATTGACCAAGGACCTACCACTTTGCCTATGGCGACATTGCTGGCGATTACGTAAACGAAAGCCGACGACCCTAAATCAAAATACGTTGAGCGGGCCAACTAACCACCGAAACGGCTCGAAGGGATTGGGAGGTGGGAGGTGGGCTGTGGGCGAGGGAAGGTGGTCGCCTTGGCTTTGTCCGTAGCTAGGATGATTTGTGATGGCCAGCCGGGCGAGTAGCTAAGGCCAAAATCAACAAGGCCTCCCAGGGTTGCCCCATGCAGGGTTGCAGGTGGGGGCGCAGGTAGGGGTGCATGGTGTAGCGCCAAGCGAGAATCGGAGTCGAAAAACTGTACCGCAGCCAGCGCATGTCCGATGCACTCTCTCGCTCTCAGCCGCATCCCGTCCCTGTCGCTGGGTTGTTTGGGGTTGCACACGTTTCGCCGTTTGAGGGGTTCTCTAGTGCAAGGCTGCAATTTATTTTGCACGAGTTTGTCAGTTGTTAGGCACGTTTCGCCACCCCCAGCCGCCACAGGCCCCACCACCCCCAGAAAGCCCCTCGGAGCGCCCACCGTATATGGCTGAAAAATTGATTTTTTCAGTTCGTTGGCATGTTGCCGCCTAGCCATGTACTTTCGTGCTTTTGACCAGGGGCAGGGACACGGACACGGACACCGGCACGGGCAGGCATTTCGAGAAGGAGGGAATGCACTGTGTGCCCTGGGTGGCTGAAAATGCTTTTTAACCTACTTTGAGCTTGAGCACAGGTCGACATTTAGACGAGGGTCGTCGCATGACCTTTCGTGTGTTTCCAAACGCGTTCTTTGGCGCTGAGTCTTCTGGCTCCTTGTGCTGTTTGTTATGGTTTTCGATTCGGAAAACGCAACCAATACCAGGGCAACCAAGCCACATAGCACTTCAAAGATCTACATTTCAATACACATTTTTAATGAATAAATTATTACATAAGTTATCAAATTATTTTATGTTTTTTATCAAATGGAAAAACACTGTAATCGTCTACTGCCGTCCCCTTTTCAATGAACCTTCCGCGCACCATTCCGGCCCACTTCCATGCATTTACGAATTCGTACATCCAACACTACCACTCGAACATCCCTATGTAACTCCTGGGTCGTCGGAACCCGCCCCTTTTGGCGCATTCCTGCCCCACCAACATGTGTGTGTGTGCTCCCTCCATTACATGCATCACACACACGAGGATACTCGCCCTTTCTGTATGGGGCTCTGGCATTGTTTACCATTTCTTTTTATAGACAACATATGTTCGACATGCCCATGTGCGGGGTG